TTTAGAGAAGAAGAAAAGAAAATTTAAACGAAAAAATCAGACTTTTTTTTTCTTTTTAGTATATTTGAAATATATAGTCAAAATATTATTTTAAAAATAAATATACACTTTTATTTAAATTTCAAGTTCTCTAATTTAGTTGAATAAAAACCTTACATTTTTTAGATTTCTTTAAAAATAATATCAAATTTTTTCACTTCTTTTACCAATAAAATACAAAATAAAAGCTTTATGAAAAAATTATTTTTACTTTTGAAATAAAAAATCATTGTCTTTTAATATTATCTAACAAAGGGTTTATAAAAAAGTAATTTATAAAAAAGTGGTCAGGGGTTTATTGCCATTTTTTGTTGTTTTGAGTCACTGTGCAGCGCTTGTTCGTTTACAAAACTCAAAACTTTTGGATGAGGGCCGACATTCTGCTTTTTTACTAGTTTTTTTTTTTCCAATTAAATTTCCTTTTTCAGGATTCATTTTTACGATACATCTAAATATTAATTAGATGAGATTAATAAATCATTATTTAGAGTAAAAAAAAAAGAAAAGAAAGTAATGTTGAAATATATGGTAGAGCGTACATGTAGAAGGTACGGTTACATGAAGAGGGTACGGTTACAGATAATCAGGATCAGGGGCGGCGCTGCATTTTTTGGTCTTTGAGATAGCTAATTTCCAGACATGGAGCAAACTCCAAACATTTATATGTTTATACTTATACCAAATAAGGATGCTTTGTAAAAAATTGCGATGATTGGAGCTTGGGAACAAAAAAGCCACAAAACTTTGCCATCCCTGCCCCAAACTTGAGAGAAACAAGTTAATGAATTATTTTTTGTTCTATTTTCAACTGGACTTATATTCATCAGTAAATTTTAAGTTTCATAGAATTATCTCTCAGCGTTCAAAAATTATGAACATATAAAGTTTGCAACCCCCTAAAAGAGGCAGAATTTTGGAGCTTTTTTTTTCCCGAGCTCCAATCATCACAATTTTTTGAAAAGTAGCCTTATTTGATATTAGTATAAACATATAAATGTTTGGAGTTTTCTTCATGTCTAGAAGTTAGCTATTTCAAAGTCAAAAAATGCTGGCGCTGCTGGAACTAAATTGTTTTATTGTCGCCGCTCCAAGAAACAAAAAAAACATTGTCAATTTCACAAAATTTTCATTTGCTTAATCTTACTCTGATTTACATGGTTTTTTTTTTCTTTATTTTCGTTTACTCTACTTAGAGTAAATTTAACAACTTTATATTCGTTACAAATGTTCTTTGTTTTCCATTTTGAACGTCCTTTAAAATGGATACTTAATCTTTTAACAATATTGAACGTATTTTTTTCTTCTGATTCAAATTTTATGGTTGAATTTTAAGCACAAAAATATTAATTTATTTATTATCTAACAGAAACTATCAGAGCTCATGTAACTATTCTATTTAACAGAAATTCGGTTATTGGAATATGTTTGTGTTTTATATATACATATATATATATATATATATATATATATATATATATATATATATATATATATATATTATATATATATATATATATATATATATATATATATATATATATATATATACATATATATATATATATATATATATATATATATATATATATATATATATATATATATATATATATATATACAATAATTTATTTTGGTGAAGAATCTTTTAGTCATACATATGAACGTAAAAAAAATTTGAAACCCGTTTAAATTGAAAAATTTTTTCAATTTAAACGGGTTGTTTAAACAAGTGCTACAACTTGCCTAAAAATGCAAGTCAAAGCACTTTCTGGTTACGTTTTTGCAAGTCATAATACTTGCAATACTTTTATACAAGTCATAACATTTGCAGTTGTATTTGGGCATTAATAAACATTATAATTATGAAAACAATACATTTTAACATTCAACACAAGTAATACACATTACCAATTAAAAAAATATTAACTCTCCTGATACAACATCTTCAGCCAGCTGGAATTTTTCACAATAATCAACAGTTTTGTCTTTTTTCCAGTAAGAAATCTTGTAAAATCTGTTTTACAAATTTTTTTTTAATTTTTCTACTTTACCATCGTATATGACATACTTAGACTTTTCATTATCATGCCATTTATGGCATAATTTTCTACCAACAATTCTCTCAGACATAACATCATTTAAATTATGCAATTGCTATGTAGACAATTGTTTATACAAATTCTTAATCTGGCTGAAAGTTTTTTTCTTTTTCATTTAATATTTGGTGCTTGCAAGTCTGCCTCTTATAATTTTCAGATCGAATTTGAGCATAATGTAGACGATTTCTTTTTCTTTCTATATGTGCTGTGGAAATGGACCACTTAACTACATTTATAAATGGACAATTTATCTACAAAATGATGCTCGCAGAGCAGCTTGCAAACTACCTCATTTTAATGTTTCAGTGATCAGAAAATGTAGAAAATCAGCATAGTGTTTAATAAAAATAAAGCAAGTATGAAAATGAATATGAAGATGGTTTTCTTGATATCTGGAAATGATACAGCTTGGGAGTTTTTTGTAGTCTAAAAAATTTACAAGTCCCTGCAAATCACTTTTACCATTTTATTCATAACCAAAACAACTTTGACGGTTACACAATCATTGCCAAATAATCTGCATTCTTCTGTCTATAGAAACTTCATTGCTGAACGACATGTATATATATATATATATATATATATATATATATATATATATATATATATATATATATATATATATATATATATATATATATATATATATATATATATATATATATATATATATATATATATATATATATATATATATATATTTGTAGGTTTTGTAGGTAATTTTTACTTTGAAAAAAATTGTAAAAAAGTTAAGAACCATCTAACTGTATACAGCACCATCACTCGACTGTTTTAAATTTAATAGTACAATTTATTCACGCTTTTCAATTTGGCTGGCGCAGCTATAACTGTGAATGTTGTCAGAAAATAGGGGTCCTTGTCTGCCATATATATATATGTGTGTGTGTGTGTGTGTGTGTGTGTGTGTGTGTGTGAGTGTGTAGGTTACTTTCACTAGAATTGGTTATATTTAAAAAACACGCTAGCTAAAATATCTAAAGTTGCAATATAATGTGACAAGTTTGTATGCTAAAATCTTACTTTGGCTTTCATAATAAAACCTTTTTCCAATGGAAATTTCCGTGTTTCAAAATTTATTTTAAAAGAAGGAAAATTTCCATTCAATACTTTGTTAATAACGTACAAATAACGGAAAATAATTCCGTAAAACCACGGATCTTTTTAACGGTGTAGAATTAAAACATTTATCATACTAATTCAACGTAAAAGAAATTTAAGTCTAACAAAGAAACATTGTAGTTGAGTCCGGCAGGTTTTACATTTTGTTTGAAAAAAAACAAAAAAAAAAATCTAGACATTTATTCGCCACCTCAGAGTTTATTAAATTTATATTTTAAATTTAATTTTAAAGTTTTAATTTAAATATATTATAGGTTTTGTGCCCAGGAGAGAAGTTCATTCCTTTTTTAAAAGAAACTTTTATAATGCCATAACTTAATTTTATAAACGACAAACATTACATGCTTTGATTACGTCGAGTAATCATAAAGTAATAAAATAACTTACGTTAAAGTAATAAATAACTGTAATAACCATTACAGTTATTTATTACTTTAACGTTTTTAATGTGGACTAGCGCTGCTCCAGCAATTTAAATCAATTATACAACCAATCGGGGGTGCATAGTTTAGAATGCGATATTTAGCTAAATGCAATACTGTCACTTGTTTTGGGAAAGTCGCTGGGCAATTTATAGTGAGTTGATTTCTATTGAAAAATTGAGTGCAGTTGGAGGCGATTTTTTATTGCTTAATCGAAAAAAATCGCCTTTTTGGAAATCCGCCAATGCAGTAACCCCAGTGCTTCGTCTAAACTTCATGCTCGAGAAAAGTCAATCTCAAATAGTTCTGCATACTTTAGCAGAATTTTAACGAGACATTACATTCAAGTTCTTTGTATTATAATAAGAACAATTATAGCTTTCCTCGCGATAAATAATAATAAATAAATTTCTAATATGTGTAATATGCCAATATACATAGTACACAATATATAGTACACAGTTAACTGCCAATTGTTTATCATACTTTTATGATCTTATATTTATTCAACATATATAAAGTGTTACAAGAGTTTTTATTTATTTTGTTTGTATATTTTTTTCGTTCGAATATATATATATATATATATATATATATATATATATATATATATATATATATATATATATATATATATATATATATTATATTATATAATATTTTGTTCGTATATATACTAAAAACTCTTGCAGCACGTAAAGTGTAAACTTATAAACTTAAAGTCTAATTAAATAAGTACTACAACAATAACTACAATAACAACAACAACAACAACAACAACAACTACTACTACTACTACTACTACTACTACTACTACTACTACTACTACTACTACTACTCAGAGCCGTGGCTAGACTACCTTACACACCCAATGGGGGGGGGGGGGGAGTCAATTTAATTTGTTAATTTTGGAAACCCTTTTTTTTAAATTAAGTTTTAAGAAAATGGGGCCCTAATATCAGGTTTTATGGTGGTGGTGGTGGTGGGGGGGCACAACAATGCTACCATAACCACTACTACTACTACTACTACTACCTACTACTACTACTACTACTATTACTACTACTACTACTACTACTACTACTACTACTACTACTACTACCACTACTACTACTACTACTACTACTACTACTACTACTACTACTACTACTACTACTACTACTACTACTACTACTACTACTACTACTACTACTACTACTACTACTAC